TCCACAACCTGCTCGACTCAACCCACACGCACACGCAAATTGACTCACAGGTCCGAGCGACGGCCAAACGTGGTGACGAAGACTACATCAAACAGTCTAAGGATGCGTTCATCCATTTCCGACACGAATTCTGCTCACGAAAGAACAAGGCAGAGGCTGCTAGTGGTGCAGGGGTCAGGACTGTAGAAATAATGTATCATTTATTATTTTGTATTAAATAATTAAATATAATTATATTTTATAAATTATTTGATAAAAAATTGTATCCAAAGCAAAAGGAAGTGATTCAAATGCTTGTAATGGCTTATAAGCATTATAAGTAGATATTATACTGTCACAAATTAATAAGTATGTCTTAACCTTGTAATCTTAGGAAGTATATTATAATCACTTGTATAACTTGACAATTTACACAATTATAATTGTAATTGCCAAGTTTTAAAAGTATTCTTGTTTACTTATTTAACATTGTACTATCATTGCTTAACCCCCTATGAAGATTATATTAACATTGACAAATCTTATAAAAGGTACAAAATGTATAGGATTACAAGTGAATACAATACTTAAGACTTTTTCGTGATGAAAGTAGTCAATATCTTATTACAATAATGGCATCTGCAAATCAAAAGTTTAGAGATCTGATGAATGAAAAATGGGATATGTTGTCAAGTACTATGCAGGATGATTATAATGAACTTAATGAGAAGATGAATGACAATAGTGAGCCATTTCATTCCTTACTTCTCTCTGTGTACTATTTAAGTTTGACTGTATCTGGTTAATACAATAAAGCTTTGGTATTCCAATACTTTATTGTCAAAAGTGATAGTACTATAGAATATGCTGTTGTGTATAGACAATTGAAACTAACACATACAGCTAAGAGTCTAATGACTCTTCTACAAAAGTTGATGGATTTAACAGGAACTCCTTAATGAGAAAACAGGTATAATTGTAATAGAGGAACAATTGACTACCTAATAGATAGAATAAACAGGAGCTAGGAATGGAATGAATACAAATGTGTTTTGTTTGACTGAATGAATCATTTGTGATACTGCTAAACCAGGTACTTGTATATAGTTATTATCTCTACTCAAAATTACATCCTCTATCCTCTCTCTTACTCTCTAAGGAATCAAGACTATTACTCTTGTAAGGATTGTGAGTACAGTTCATTGCATTTATTGTAGCAGGCTAGTCCTGTCACAACCTGTACACAATGTTCTGAAAAGGTACCTATTTTGTATTAGAGTCTTGTATTCTGCCTTACTTGCTATTCTCAGCCATAGTTGTTCTGTACCTAGAGAAACTATATATACAACAATAAGGAAACATTCATCATTACATCCACAGTATCCACCTTACTCCCACGTCCTCCTTGTCCTTATCAGCAGTAGCATGCCAGGAAATCTCAGGAAGCCTCATCCCAACAACAATAGTAGCAAACGTAAGTACTATCATAAAAATGTAAACTGTCAGACCCCCCTCCCCTGTCCTTTACCATACGTTCTCTGCCTGTATACTATCAAATGCAAATACCTCTTACACAATACAAAGAAATTTAACTGTACTGTAAAAGAACCTGGATATAAATCTGCAATCAGTTCGCCACTCCCTCCTTCACTGGGTGTTGTCCCACCACCACCTCCACCAGTTCTGTCATCACATCCATACTCTCAAGCCAATGCTTTTGCGAAAAGGCAAGAAGCAAAGTAGGTCCGAGGCGACACATGAAGAAGAACAAACATTGTGTGAGACTGTTGACTGTGCCAAGCGTTCATTTACCACCACTTTCCTTCGATTTTCATTTGCGACATTTAGGTTTCTTCCATGCTGCTCGTATTGAGTCTATATAGAGCTCTCATCAACAGTCTTCCGCCATCTAGCAATTCTCTGTGCATTCAACTCCTCTGTCTCTCTCCTGCGTCGCTCTTCCTCTGCTTCAATGTCTTCGGGCCGAATACCATGAATCATCAACTGCATTGCGAAAAACCCGTCCCAGAAGTCGAATTGTCTTCCATTCCCGTCCGCATGATCGCCATCATTGTTCCCACTTCTTGATCGTCGAACAACCCTTTCACTGCGTCCTTGATTCTCTCCTTCGTATTTGCGTTTTCTCTGCTCCTTTTCCGCCTTTCCTTCCCTATCTTCACCTCTTTTGACAATACCATCAGGATAATAGTCATGCGCGTTCTTTTCTAGCATCTTCTTTGCTTCTGGAGTGCCGAAGTTATTAATCACAGCAGAGGCATAAGTGACGTCCAGCAAGATGTCTTTAGGAAGGTACTCCGCGATAGTCGTTCTGCTTGCTGTAGGATTACCTGACCCACAATCTTTTGTCATGGAGGAATAGGCATTATGATTCAGGCCGACACGTTGCTCCTCACTTTCCAGAAAGCAGTGGACTGTGACGCGGTAAGTGTCTGGCAGAGCATTCTCTCCGCCTGGCACTTCGTTGGTCTTAAAGAACTTGTTCGGAGTCTATGAACAGACTAGTCAATATGATCACGAATGTACATCGCACGTTACTCACTTTAAGGAATGCGACACACTTCTCACGATCAAAGCCGGCATGAAGGTCTCTACGCATCACTATCTGATTCTGATAGTCGTCAATAGTCATAGTATCGTCGGGCTCGCCACGACTTGCAAGGAGTCTGTGGAGATACTGAAATGTAGAAAGTTAGTATCACTCACAATGTAAAATGTCCTGATGCTCACATCGTCGCCCTTTGTGAACGGTATGAGGTGACACGCTTCGCAGATACCCGGCGGCAAATGAGAAAACGGGCAACCACCATAGTATTCCTTCAGCTCGCTCGGTACAACACGAGAACGAGTAGAGGTAGATGAACTTCGATCATGACGGGTGGTTCTCAACAGATAATCTAAGAACCTCGCTTCTCCGTCGAAGCAAAACACATAGCGGTCCCCAGGCCCGACGTCCTCGTCCATCTCCCCTTCAGTAAAGTCCTCATCCCCATTAAGGAAACGAAGTGTCCCATCGATGCCTAATATGACAGACGCTAAATAGAGGAGCCATTTGCGCGGTTTGAGGGAGTAGAGCCTCATACGATCGTGAGGAATGTGTAGCAAAGACTCAGGTGGATTTGCATTGCCACCAACAGACATATACCATAGCCATACTCTCGTATCTTCGCCTACATTGCCCGAGGTGCTGCTACTTGCCTGAGGCGCATTATTTTGTGCACCAGGGGCGACATCCATGGTCGTTAGCAGTGAACAGCAGACTAATTGACTGCGAGTTGAAAGCTGAGCCACCTACGTGATCGAGTTTATTATCACGTGATAGATATGTATTGGTAACCGTAACACTTAATATGTCACACTGTTACGTAACACATAAGAGAGGTTTCCGTCACTTGCACGAACAATATGCAAAGTAGTCATGAAGAATACGAATATCGCATGAAAGATAGATGATCAGTTAAGTGGAGAGGCGCTCAAAGATACAAGTAAATGAAAACAAAGTATATGATGTCGAATTGATTCACGCAGCCATCTCAACATCGGCATCGCCAGTCTGAGCTGGAACTGGAGCCGACACTGGTTGCTTGCTCGAGTTGTCATCGCCCATGAACGCATCCAACTCCTTATCCAGATCCTCAGCCGTTTTCGGCTCCTTCCTGAATCTTCCACCGCGTGTGCCACCACCCCTACCTCGCCGACCACGCGTTCGCATAGGTCCTCCGTTCGTTTGAGTCTCTCTAGTTTAATCATGAACATTAGGAGGGACAGGGAGAAAAGACAGTGACAACATACGTAGTTGCGGCGTCCCCGTCCGCGGTACTGGAATCAGACGTCAATCGGCTATGCAAAGGTGCTTTCGAGATTCGTTTCAGTAGTGCTTTCGGGTCGCTGCCAAATCGCTTGACCGGCCTCGTGTCGTATGCAACTTCCATAGGCTGACCTAAGAAGAAAAATCAACACACAAAAATAACAAAACAAACTTCTTTTGACGCGGATAAAACGCAATAATAAATAAAATATATACCCTTAGCCAGGATTTTATTAAACTGATTTTTGGCACGCGTCGCCTCAACCGGGGTCTCGAATTGCAAAAGCGCTACGCCAGTCGATCGGCCGCTGCGGTCATACTAATGGACCATAAAATAAAGGTCGGATGAAGAACGAAAGGGTCCGATTTAGCGTTCAGGTTCAAAGGACGTGCTCAATAACCATAAGCGACGACGGGAACCGTACTTTGATGTCTGGCTCGCGTACGAGCGTGCCGATTTGGCCAAATATGGCCTAAGAAAAAGGTTAAGAAGAGAAAGCGTCAGTATGATGTTATGAAGGAAGGAGGTGAAATGAAAAATGATGAACGCACAATAAGGTCTTTTGCCGTAATTTCGTAGTGCAAGTTTGAGACGACAAGCCTGCTGTTCAGCGGGCCCGCTTGTGGACCTGGACCCGCGTTCACAACAGCTTTGGGTACGTCAACAGGTGCCTTGTCATGTACCCACTTGTCGTCGCTTGCACGCGAACGCTACACGGTAAAAAAATCAAGAGGAACAGTAATATTTAGCAACTCGTGCAACACGACGAAATCTGTGAAGAAAACATACGTCGTACGGCTTGTTCACGCGTCCTCTAGGAGCACGATGCATTTCTTGTTGAAAAATTTGATTAAAAAGGAGAAAGCGGGAGAGGAGACAAGAGGTCAGTGGTAGTCAAAGGGCAAGGAAGATGGGCGTCATGAACAGGAAGGGCGAGGCGCTGCACGTCTTAATTTGGAGCGCCTGATCGGCGTTGTTCTGAAAATCACGTGCATGGCGGTTTTCTCGGCGGACTTGCGAGACATCGGAGACAAACTACAGCTGAGTGCTCCGCCATTTCACCTTCAAGTCATTCGTCCGAGAAGAATACTGCAATGTTCAGAAGGCTACAAGTATCTGTCCCGAGAAATCTCACTCGATATTCAGTTCGCCCACTTTCCTCAACCACTCGCCGATTTAAAGATCCCTGGGTACTTCCTAACACTCCCGAACACGAGAAATCAACACGTTCACCAGTAGACCTACCTCCGCTACCACCTCTTCCAAGACATGGCGAATCAGTAGAGAAAATGCGTGCAAGACTCGTTTATCAGAGCCGAAAGCGTGGAACTCTGGAATCGGATTTACTTCTGAGTACGTTTGCGGCCCTGAAATTGGGAACTATGAGTGAAGAGGAGCTGAAAGAATATGATAGCGTACGCTGGTTTTCTTCAAATTCCGTGTTTGGTGATACCAGAAGAGATTAAATGCTGATTTTCTTTCCTCCAAATTTTAGTTATTAGATGAACCGGATTGGGATATCTACTACTGGGCGACGGAAAAGCGACCTGCACCGGAACGTTGGGCAAATTCACCCTTGTTAGCGAAGCTACGCCAGCATGCGCGTAATGATGGCAAGGAGATTCGACGGATGCCAAACCTATCATAGTGTCACTGTGTAAAGTTATTGACGCCGATTCTTTGGTGTTTGCTCAGTCCAACGGTTTCGTTATGGCAGTGGACGTTTGTAATCGTATGTGCCGTTCTGATTCTATATTAAGTTTGCGCAGTCTGAAGCAGTGTTAAGTTAGGCAGATGAGTTGCAGTGCCTTTTTCACCATCTAATAAGAGCACATCAGGTCCGCAGTATTTTCGCCCCACAGTTTGAATTTCCTGTCCATATTCCTTTAATCACGTCCACATCCACTCCTGTGCTTTAAAAGGAAAATGTATCAGATAAGTCAAAAACTGCTTATCGGCGTCTGGTTAGTTGTACAATAATATACTGGCACACGTCGGGGAGAAAGCGGCATTGCGTGTTCATCATGCCGTCAAGATTCAAGGAGGCCAGAGCGCGTGCATCACTGCACCCGGTGCGGTGCCGTCAACGTCTCGTGGTTTTGATACGAAAGCTTCTGGCGCGATCGAGCTTGGCAATGTGACTGTGGCGGATTGATAGCATTTTAGAACACAGCAGTTTCCTAAATCCAACAAGAAAAATTTAATCGTAGCAACATACTCCATTCGGGCGGTATTTTCAAGCCCAACACATGGCCAATTTCAAGTAAGATGATGGACGAGCGGTTCTGTTTTATATAAAGTTATGCATCATGATATCGGGCCTGACTCTGATCTGCGAATGTGTTGCTTAGTCGTAAATTTAGACTGCTGGAGTCGCTCAATATTTTGCTCTCCCACATTAACAGCCGAACCCACAGACACGTTGGGCGCATGTAGTAATTTGCTCATCGTTTTGAAAGTTACGTAGACCGACGTCAACAGTGACGCCAGCCTTTGGTATTTTGTGCACTACAGGCGCGCAGTTGTCTGTGTGGGCTTGATGCATTGATGATTGAACCCAAATGCGGAGAGGCAAAGCAATGGAGGCACGTGCACCTAAAAAATAATCACGCTCCGATCGGGAGTGCCACTCTCCCGCGGTAGGCCAAGGCCAGTAGGAGGGAAGAGAGCAAGGCTTTGACACGGTTCCCGTCTCCTCACACTGCCCAGTCCCTCGCCCTCCTCTCTCTCTGCCCTGTCTCCTTTATCTACTGCCGAGACACTCCCGCCACGTTCTTTGCAGCTTCCGCCCTCTCGGCAATCGCGGTACTGAGCCAGCCCAAGATCTGCATCCGAGCAAGTCCGACTGGATACAGAAACGTTGGAGCAAATTCCGTCTGAGACGCGGCACCAAAATTAGCAGCGCAGTAATCGTGCTGTGAGTGGGTTGGTGACGCATCGTAGGACGTCGTTGCTCTCGTGCTTACTCGGACGAGTGGCGTTTAGTCGTTTCTCTCTCCTCGTTCTCCCGATTCCTCTTTCTTGAACTTGTTATGAACGATCACGAGCTGCAACGTCCGCTCCCGATACGTTCTCGTTCTCGCCCTCGCCGTTCAAACTCGACTGGTAGACAGACTGTCATTCAGGTGAGCATTTCGTCGTTGGTTCTACTTTGGGTGGGAAGATTGGTTCCGGAACAATAAATGCTATTTATATTCGGAGGACGAGAATGTTCTTGAAGTACGGATTGCGTCGGATTGATGGTCCTCTCTTACTCTTTTCACTCTAGTCCATTTCTCTTGACGAACGGAATTGCCAATTTACTGACTTGTCATTCGGATTACGCAGATTCACGCAAGCAATATTGTCAAGAAACTCGGAATTTTAAAAAATAAAATCGGATCAGGAACGTTTTTCAAACCGGACTCCAGCAAACAATCAAATATCGACATTGACGCTGATAGCGAGGACTACCTTATCCGAAAGACACGGTCTTTGGACGTTTTACGGTCGAAGCCGTATATGTCTTCATCCATGCTTGCCGTAGGCTTCAAGCCGCAAGAACTTTCGCGGCACTCTGCAGATGGCTCGCATGAGAGTGGGAGTACTGGGCACGGTACAGGCAGCGATATTGGTAAAACGCGTGACCATGCAAAGAAGCCCTCGATCGCATCTGGTCTAGCCGTTGCTGCAATGGTCGCAGAAGCCAGTTTTCGACCGACGGAAGCTCGTCCGAATGGTATTCAGCGTACGTCAGGCGCAGCGGGTATGTCAAATTCTCAGAATGCAGGACATGTCGGGTCCGCTCCGTTATCTCTACCAGAGAAGCGGCCTGGTCATCCGCGGCTCTCGACGCTCCCGCCATTGAACTTCAACCTAAAGGGTTCGTCACAGGATCAACGTCCCACTCGCTTCTCGCCATCCGTAATTGTCCGTCCACCACCATTTCCAATACTTGAACTACCTGCACTGCCGACACCTATAGCAGACACGCACGAACCAGGTGGCCAAGATCGATCACGGACGCGACGCGGGACAGCCCGTCTTAATTCGATGCCCATGTTACCAATGGAGGGCGCTGATGAACGTGAAAATGATCCTGATCACGAGAACTACGGACTAGATGAGGACGAGGAAGGTGAAGATGATGACGATGAAGAAACGGCCGAAGCCGTGGGCAGTGAAGACGAAGACGAAGATACCGACATTAACGGGCGAACTACCGCAGATACCGGGCGAAGCAGATCATCTACCATAACCGCATCCTCAGGTGCAAGTTTCCTTTCCCGACCACGCGGGTCGTCACTCCGTTTGCAACTGCCTATGTTGAACACACCAAGCCTCTCGTCCCTCTTGGGCACGAGCTTTGGTACGTCGGGCACTACGTCAGCGAGCGCGAGTAATGCAGATGCCGGATTCGGCAGCGCACGATCGGAAGAAGCGGTAACCCCCACAGCAAATCGGACTAGCCCAATTAGGAAAGCGGATTATTTCACTGTTTCTTCTGACTCTCCTGGCCCTGCCGCAGGCTTATTAGGCAGACAGCGCGCAGAGGATATCGATCGGACGAGGTACGAGGGCGAGTCATCCGCCTCCTCTTCCTCTACCTCCCTCTCTGCTTATCCACATCACCCACCACCCGCTCCTTTGTTGCAATCTTCGAGTGCACTTCGGACTCCTACGGCACGCGATCATCCTCCTTTGCAATCTTCCATGTTCTCTGTGGCACCACCTCCTATTCCTTCAATACAACTTGAAACAGACTTTCCGGGCTCTGACGAGCGGATGTTCAAAGATAATTTGACGCCAAAAGCCACTCATAAGGACGTGCCACATCTGAATGCTCTTAACACACCTAAACGCCCCGGTATCTACCACCATGCTTCAAAAAGCATGATTGAGCTATTTTCGACCGCTTCAGCAGAGAAGGGAAGTGCGGATGCGATCGAAGTCGGTGCCGGTGCGAAGGTTCATGACATCAAGGGCAAGGGTAAACTACACCCGGAAGAATCGGTCTCAAACCTGCAGATGTTAAGTACGTCGCCGAGCAAAGGAAAGGTGGCAAAGGACCACATGGATATCGCTACTCTCTCAACATGTCTGGATTCAAAGGTGGAAGGTGAACAGAAGGTGCTACCGGTGACCCCGACGACAGCAGCGCCGAAGGAGACTGCGCCATCTTTGCGACGACAACGTTCTATGCCTACCTTCAGTTCTTCTGGTCCACCGCCACCGTATCCGTCGTTCCCTCTTCCGGAGCATTTCCGAAAATTCATGCCACTGCCACGCGAAGACGAGGGGAAAGAGGAGCTCCCGAGATATAGCAACGACATTAAGCTTGTCGCTATAATGCCGCGCAAGATGGAATTCGCTGCGCCAGGGGTGCCAGCGCGTGATCGAAAGTGGCGACGCGTGCATTGTGTGTTAGAAGGTACGGCGTTTCGTGTGTACGACGCACCCCCGCGTGTGAGTGGTGTCAGTGCGCTTGGAGGCTGGTGGGAGAAGAAAGTAGGTGTAGGCGATATGAGCTCTAGTCAGGGTTCTTCTGCGACTGCTGCCCCCGGTGCGACAACGAATATCGTAATTGGTAAGAAAGAGCCGAAGAAGAGGATGAAGTGGGAGGAAGAACTTCAGGCGCAAGAAGCTTCGCGGACGAATGCAGTAGAGGAAACTCAACCGGTTACGGCAGAGATAAATATCGGCGGCCCGTCACAAGGACATAAGTCAAAGAGGAGTTTGGCCTCGACTCTCTTGCACCCGCACCGTGCTAGGAATTCACTGCACACTGGGTCTTCGTCCACCCCTGCCTCTCCGCGATCATCCTTCCAGAGTTCACGGCCTTCCACGGATACCTCCGCTCCTTGTTCTACAAGACAATCCTTTGACGCGCATACACCTGCCTCATCTTCCACTACATTATCGCCAGATTCATCGTTCAATTCATCTACTTCACTATCAGGACTTTCTACCGGTTCGTCTGCCTCATCTTCAGGTACACCATCGCGTTGGCGAGGACATATGCGATCAGACTCTGCACCTTCAAGTGCCACTCATTCACGATCAAATTCTCATACCCATTCGCTCTTAAACTCGGACCTACAATCTCAACCTCAGGATGCAGGGTCGAATCACTTCCACCAGAATCAAAATCAGGCCAATTCAACTGTTCCCGAGCCAGACGAGAAAGATCTGATACGTGTGTACTCACTACAACGTGCGGAGAGTGGGCTTGCCAGTGATTATATGAAACGAAAGAATGTTGTTCGTGTACGGATGGAGGGTGAGCAGTTCTTGTTGCAGTGTAAAGATGTTGCCGGTGTCGTTGAGTGGATCGAGGTTCGTCATCCTTCACTCTCTTCGCACTCTCCCCCGGACATAGACGCTAATTCAATCTCCTATCTTTAACCTTTTTCACGATATAGGGCTTCCAAGCTGCAACGAACATTGCCCTTGACCTGGACGAACGTCCGATGCCGAAAGGGCCTATCTTCCCTCGGTGAGTTGCTGTCATATCACTATCATAATCATTTTCTGACATGTGACGCGATTGGCATGTGTTTGGTAGACGGAGAAGGCGGCGGCGAGTTCAGCGTACGGAGTCAGGGACGGATCAGACTGTTACTGAGCCTGCTGCTGCGGGGAGTGGAGCGAACGAGACTAGTGCTTCGTAATGAATATATCGTTCCCTGTCTTGGACGATGCTGGGCCTGCGACTTCCAAGCAATTTTGTGCCTGCGCAAGGGACTATCCTTCTTTTTTTATTTCTTTCGCCTCATTTACAACATACACCTGATTTTCGGACTCTCCTCTTTTCTCCTGCTATCCTCTACTCTACACACATTCACGCATCCTCGCATTCACAAGTTTACACGCGCACACACGACACGTCTCACACTATCTCACATCTCGTACAAATTACCCATCCATCTACGTATCTGCCATACTGTGTTGTTCCTTTTTAATTATTTTTTCACATTTTTTTCTTGTATTGTTTCTGTCTCTGTATCAAACCTGCGTCCCCCCTCCATCACTGTGTTTCGAGTTTCGAGTTTCGAGTTTTGTATTTTTTCTTCCTCTCTGGCTCATTTAAATTTTCGTATACGTACACGTAGCTTTAGCTATATGCGTTTAATGTGGAGTAGGCTTTGGGATTATAAAGCAAAGTTTGCTTTGGCTGGGACCCAGTCGCACTGTAACAATTGACATCAATTCCACACTACTCAACATTTTGTATTAATAAATTGGCAATAGTAGGATTCGCAGGATTACACAAATTATTTTGTTTCATTCAGTAGTGAATCTATTCAAAAACAGCTGTCGGGGGAACGAGAAGAACTCGAAAAGTCATTTACTCATGATCGTACTGCTCTCAGCCTTTGTCCTAGAGGACATCCTGATCATCCAAAGTCATCGATTTCCCTTATCAAGTTACTGAGGCTCGCTGCTATTCACAAATTCTCGGAATCGACGGAACGCCTTCTTGCTGTGCGAGAATGGGTGGCACTTGCGCAATTGTGATTGTACAGCCATAACACTACCTTTATGCCTTATAAGGCGACACCATCAACACTTCAACGCACTTTCACCAACTCCACACATACAACATGACTCTCTTCTCAGAAATAGTGATCACAGAATGCTCCCCCTAGTGGCCTAGACACTACTTCTTACACTGTCAGAAAAAAACTATTAGAACAAGCTGTAGGGATAGCCTTCACAAGATGTACTATAATTTATAATTAAAATTATTGTGTATAAAGGTTAAAAACCTTTCAGACTTAGGGTACTGTTCTGTACAAGTTACATGTAGCAGGGATTTTCCAAACCTTGCAATGCTATTAATATGTCATTCCCTTTTCAGGCTGAAAATTTCAACAGGTGTATAGTACAATAAGCTAGTGTGAAGTTAAATTAATATGTACATGGGGCATTTCACAATTTCTTGCCTTAAAAAATAACTTACATAATGTTAAATATAATTCATAATTTAATTTACCATTTTTGGTTGATAGAAATTGTAAACAACATTTAAAAATTTCTTTAGACAAAAACTATAAATTAATTTTGGCATATCTTTATTTGTGAAATCTTGAAATAAATGAGAATAATTATTTAAAACATAATTTGAAGTTTCTTTTAAAACAAAATTATAAATTTTCTTTCAAATTTTAAGACAAAAAACATTTAGAATTTCATTTATAATATTAAATCTTATAAAATATTAAAAGAAATTTAAAATTTTACTCAGAGAAGAAATGCCAAAAAAAATAGTAAATTATTTCAAAGTGAGCAGTCAGTAGTCAATCAGTAGACAATCAATAGGCAAGCAATGGGCAAGTAATGGGTAAGTAATAGGTAAGCAATAGGTGATCAACAGACAATCAACAGGCAACTACCAAATGAAGCAAAAATGTCTTCATTTGGTAGTTACCTATTGATTGCCTGTTGATTGCCTACTGATTACCTATTGCTTGCCTATTACTTGCCTATTGATTGCCTACTGATTGCCTACTCTAAAATAATTTTTAATTCTTTATAGCATTTCTCTCTCAAGTAAAATTTTAAATTTATTTTAATATTTCATTCAATTTAATATTATAAAAGAAATTTCAAATTTTTCTTGTCACTAAATCTGAAAGAAAATTTATAATTTTGCTATAGGAAAAACTTTAAATTATGTTTTAAATTATTATCTCCATTTATTTAAAGATTTTACAAATAGGGAAATGTTAAAATTAATTTCTAGTTTTTTTTGTATAATAAAATTTTAAAATTCTGTTCAGAGTTTCTACCAACCAAAAATGGTAAACTAAATTACAAATAATGTTTATCATTATGTAAGTTATTTCTTAAGGTAAGAAATTGTAAAATGCCTTATAGAGACTAGCACAGTATAGTTGTATCAATTCTACATCCAAGCCCTGAGTCCTACAGCTCTTTTTTGGTTAGTCTGAATTGGCCACTCACTGTCCAACTTGTATTTCACTAAGTCAAAATAAAGTCAGTTTTCTAATGAAAATACATATTCCCCTCCCTAATCCTATCCCCAAGCCTAGCCAATACCCAACCTAACAGCCCAACCTATCCTAAACCTAATTGGGGTGGCTTTGCCCCCCCAAACCCCCCCTCCTAACTTCTTAGTCTGAGAGCCACCACATAAGTATTATGTAAGTGGCCATTCAGGGTCGTCCAAAAAAGAGCTGTAAGACTCAGGGCTTGGATACAGAAAGTCAAGTCTGGTACAGCATCTGTTACTGTTGACTATAACAACAACTGCAGATAAGCTTATCTGTGGCTAAAATTCCCACAGCTACTATAGTAGCTGTAGTTAAGCAAACCTTTGCTCAATACCTAGTGTAAGTTTTACTCTTTTAATTTTCTTATCACACTTTTTGTAGTTACATGTTAATCAATATGTACTATTAACTCTACTAATTAGTATAAGTATAACAACATTAAAATATACAAAGAAAAAATATAAATAATTGAAAAATTAATGCAAGTAATTGAAAATATACTTAAGAACCAGTAGTTTGAGATGTTTTAGCTTCAAGAATTGAAAAAGCATTATTAATATTAGAAAAAAGTAGGGTATCATTCCAAGATCCAACAGCCATTTGAGCAATAAAAGTATTTGAAGCTATATTATGTTGCATAAAATTAATTTGATGATGTCTATGAGAAAATGCTCTCTTTGCATCAACAGAGGTTGCTAAATAAATGAAACTTAAGATTTATTGTCTCAAGTTCTAAATAATAAAACTTACCAGGTGCTGAACAGAAGTCAAGGCCCATGTAGGCTAAGCTTGGACATCCTCCAATTTTTGAATACCAATACTGAAGGAGTCCACCTGCTTCCTTAATAGTTGATAGAGGAACAGCTGCACTAGTAAGGTAAACATGAATACTATCAATTGTCTCCCTCTCAGAAGTCATTTCCTCTGCTTCCAGTATATAGTAAGACTGGTGCTTGAATAAAAATTAATATAAAATAAGTAAATAAATAATAAAAGGCTTACAATTGTTTGTGAGTGTTGAAGCACTGAGGAAACAAAAGTGCACTGGTACTTTTTGTATGACTCCTCCCACCATTTTATCACTACATTTCGGATTTCATTGATCTCAGAGACAGGGAAATTGTTTCTGAGAAACTAGTCAAGTTTCTTGTCTGGAGACATTACTATTAAATAAAGTAAATCAATATAATTAATGTACAAAGAATTATTAAGGAATTATACCTATTGCAATGTAGTATATCTCACACTCATCAGCAAGAGCATAATACTTCTTGCAAACAAGTGTACCAGCATAGGCAGCAATTCTCAAGACAGAAGGCTGAGAGGTATCCTCACTAGCTCTTGTGAGTGCTTGTTGAATAACCAGGAGCATAGGAATAATATTAGCAATAAGGGGAACATTTGCTTGTGAAAACAAACGTGTTGGCCCCTCAACAATCTATAAAATATGTAAGATAAATAAATATAAAGTAATATAATCACTTACCAGAAGTATATCACATAGTTCTTTTGCAAGGTGGAGTTGGGTGTCTGATAAGACAAAATTTTGAAGCTTAAACTCTTGTACTGCAGTTAATTGCTCAACAATTGGATACAAGAGAAAATAAGCATCCAAACAAGCAAGGTCAGAATTCCACCTTGTGGAAACCCTTCTATCCAAAGTATGCTTTTCACCAGTAATTGGTGAGTTTGGGTCTTTGGCTGCAGCATCAACAAGGGACTCAAACCGAGACTTGAGTCGACCTGAATCATTGACTCTTTTTGCCAGACCAGCAACCTAAATAAAACATATTATTCTTACTTATGCTTGGAAAGTATTGGTTCAAGCATAAACTTACCTTGTACAGAACTACTTCTGCCTCCCTAAGTTCGTTTTGTCTCACAGTAACACCCTTGGCACGCATGTCTGCAATTGCTCGATCACGGACAGAGATAGCAATGTGCATGTCGTGTATGGTCTGGCTCTCGTCATTAATGTGGTCTTCATCTCCATCAAGTGTATTGAACAGCTCGACTTCCTCTGGTGAAAGTACATCACCAGCATCAAGCACAAGTTCAGAGTGCAAGCCCTCCAAAGTACTGCGACGCATGCCGAGACCTATCTTCACAGCTTTCTTCTTCTTTACAGGCTTGAAGAATAACGTGAGGATAGCCTAGTTATGCTGCGTTGTAAGCAGTAAATAGACAGCGTAGCGTAACTTGCCTTACCTTTGCTATGAGATTAAGAACGTGTGCAAAACATCGAACTCTCGATTTCGATCCTCGGAAGGTGGGTATGATTTTTTCGAGCTCGATTGCTGTTGTGTCGCAATTCCCTGCATTATCCATACTGAGGGCATGGACCTGGTAAATACAGTGTCGAAATAAGTCGAAGAATGGTATGTCGAGTCGTCAAAGACTAACCTTTGACTCAATCTCGTATCGCTTGAGACAATCAGCAAGTTGATTCGCAAGGTATTCTCCTGAGTGACGATCTGTCAACCTAAGTGGATGTTAGTATGATGGCCAAATACACTGGTGTAGCCTGGCACGATCTGCGAAGCCCAAGCAGAAATGGATGTGAGCGACTCAGACAGTGAGACGCTGAGAGAAACGTGTACGTTTGAACGCGATTTCGAGAGCCTGGCACGATCTGTGAAGCCCAAGAAGAAATGGATGCAAGCATCTCACACAGCGAGACACTGAGAGAAACGTGTACGTTTGAATGCGATTTCGAGAGCCTGGCACGATCTGCGAAGCCCAAGCAGAAATGGATGCGAGCATCTCACACAGTAAGACACTGAGAGAAACGTGTATGTTCGAATGCGAATTCGAATTATCGAGCTCAGGAGTAGCACGGTATGCAGAAACAGATACAGAGTGGTATCGAATGTGGAGAAATGAAGCGATAGAAACAAGAATAACACTTACTGAATAAATTCAAGGATTGCACGATGAATTTTGCCAGAGTCAACCCAAATCACCACTACACCAAGGTATGATGCTCCAATTGGTGCTGTCCACCCATCAATAGCAAGATGAACACTGCCAGTGTGATTCTAATCGAATGTAATCAATACATTTGTTTTTTTTAAAAGACAAAAAAAATACCTTGAAGTAATTGCAGACTTGAATTGATAATCCCTGATACAAGCTCTTGATATCATTAGAAACTGTATCAGGGGAGGGGAGTGAAGTTCCAGGGCAGAGCATATTGACTTCAAGTGCATAAAACCTGTCCTTCACAAAGTTGAAGGGCTGGTTGTATCTTGCACATCTTAGTACAATAAGAGTCCAGTGCATTGCCTTAGAATATGGCAATACAGTATCACAAGCCTCAGGAGGGACATAGAGACCTAGTGAGGAATCACAGAGACAAGCTGAATGTAGCAGTTTTGCTGTTCCATCTCTTGTCCTAACCCATTCTTGCATCAAAGGTGTGTGATGAGGATTTCCAAGCCAGCATTTGAAAATGAAGGAGAGTTTCTTTAAGCCTGCCTGATTAAACCAGTGCACAGAGACATTGTAATGGTCATATGCTGGTGACTTCCATTTGTCTCTACTGGCAGCTTCAATACAGTATAATTAGCAGTGATACTTGGGTAAATAAAGTATATAATGCACCAATAATCTCTTCATCACTTAAAACCCAAACTTGATCATCTGTCTGATCATATATAGAAGTCTTCACTCTTCTCCAGGTTTTTGGTGCAGAAAGCTGTACAGGCAGAGCTTCTCCCGTGATAGAAGCAGCTGCAGCATCTATGAATGATGCTAGTGTGGGTGATGAAATGATGCCAACTGGCACTCGAGACATATTGTAATTTTGGATGAAATGAGAGTGAGGAGATGTTGGTGAATTGATCTGAGACATTTTTTTTGACTTTTTGTGTAGTTGAATTAACAGAATGAATGAAAGTAGTTGGTTTATTTTTTTTCTACTGCAATAATGCGGCTACCGCGAAATCTGCGGTAGCCGTGGGAATCTTAACCGCGGTTAGCATATCCGCG